GTTTCAATTCTGTTAATAACTAAAATAACAGAAGAGGGCAACGAAGCAAAGAGACGTACGGTATGTACGGTAAAGTAAATATATTGTCTTTTAAGTTAGAACGCTTTAACCCTTAAATGCATGATTTTTTTGATTTCAATGAAATAAATATATTGTATTGAGGGTTAAGTGTATTTTCATGGAAAAATAGAAAAAAAAAAAAATGAATATTTTCATGTTTTTTTTATTAATAAAAGGTATGTATCAAAAATGATACACTATGCATTATTGACCAAAATATTATTACGTTTTTAGTATTAGTAATTAGTAAAAAAGTATGGTGATACAAGTATATAATATCAATTTTAGCCAATAATTACGTTTAATTACTGTGAAACAATAAAAAACAGTTAGAATTCTTTTTAGAGCATAAGAATATGTCGCATTTTGAGCATTTAATGTAACTCAAAAGGTTACATTCTGGATACTGACAACGCCTTCTCTTGTCCGTTCTAATTTGATCGTGCCCAATTCTATCCAATCGTACGTCTTTAGCAGGCATAGGTGGTAAGCGGGCACTCTTTTTCTTTTTGCTGATAGCATCTTCAATGCTTGAACTGGGTCTTCCCCTTTTATTTTCTCGTGGCGCTCCATACTTGCAAAGCGCTTCGGCCTAGTCCGGAATTCTGATAACTCCATAAGAGTTTTAGGGTTGACTCCCTTCTGTTTGTTGACTTTTAGATAAAGGACCCAAGAATTAATTATAGTAATATCCAGTAGATGGTAAAAAATTCTCAAATACCATTTTCTAGTCTTCATATGGTTGCGCCCTTATCGCCCTAAGAAACTGTCCATAAGATCGACACCACCCATGTGTGAATTATGCTCTCTTATAACTCTTGGACATGGAATAGGCACTCGTCTTTTTTCTTTTTTGTCGTATCTCTCAATAGTTTCTACTGGCTCAGCTCCAACATATGTGGACAACAGTATGACCTGTTTATTATCTTTCCAGCTCACAGCAGTGACTGGGGTTCCCTCATAGGTAGACACATTCTCCACGTAATGTCCCCTCGGTATGTCGTTTTTCATAATTTCCGTTTTATGTGGTAGTTTACAATTTTTGCCCGGTCTATTTCGTTGGACAGTGCCGAGGCAGTAAATACCTTGCTGAGCGAAATAATGCATAAGAAGTAAGTTGGTATAAAAATTATCGAAGTAGATAATATGATTGCGATTTCTCGGCACTCCTCGTGTAAGTCTCACCACAGTATCAGAAACTGCACCAAGTTCAGGCTCAGTTGGAAGACGATCATGGATTATTTTTCCTGAATATATTTCAAACTGATAAGCAAATCCTTGTAAGCAACATAAAACAAATAATTTGAAGCCCCATTTATGAGGTTTGTTCGGCAAATATTGTTTCAAAAAGTGGCCCATCTTAGTAGCACACATCTGTTCATCTAGTGATAATCTTTGTTCGAAAGGCAAAGAACCAAATTTTTCATTTAGGTGATCGATAACGGGTCTTAATTTATGCAATCTATCGTGGTTGGGGTGGCCTGTGGGCAAATGCTTATCATTATCATTAAAATGCAGGAAACTCCTTATCTTCTCAAATCTGTTTAGTGGCATTGTTTCTGCTATAGGGGTGAAAGAATGTTTCGTATTCCATTATGAACGTATACTTGGGTATCGAAAGACAGACATATATGTGAGAATCCCAAAATATTGTCGCAATTCGGTAATAGTAATAATCTCTGGCCGAGATGGATTTTTTTGAACACTATATTGATTGCTTTCTTGTACTATACTTTCCAAAAATTCTGTGTTAAAAAAGTAGGAGAAAAACTGGAATGGTGTTTCTAAATTAGCAATGTCAGATGAAAAAGGATTATTGTCTTCAAATTTAATTTTATTCTCGTCAAATTGAAATTTTTGGGTTTTCCATATAATTTGTCGGACGTTACGACTTGTAGCAGTCGTAGCTGGAGTACTTGCAGAAGGAGTTGGGCCGGGTCCATCATCGTATACTTTAGGGGGATCTGAGCTATCCTCATTACCTGTATCCTCATGTATTGACGAACCTTCCTCTAATACATGTTGGAGCTGTTCTCTCGTAGGATAGAAGTCCATCAAATCATCTCCTTCCGACTCATAATCATCGTCGGATATATCCCCCGCTTCCAACCTCCGAAGTATATCTTCTATCCCATTGTCTTTGCAGTTTTTAGGCGACATCGCTGTAAAAAACATATAAAAACATGCAACCACCACCAAATTGCCGCACAAAACAATATAAGAATATTTATGCCGTTAGTGCATAATGTATCATTTTTGAAACGATACATTTTTAGGGAAAAAACATGTTGAATCAAAGATATTAGTAAAAAGTAAACACATAAACAGAAAATATGATTACTTACCGATACAATATATTTTATTTGCAGAGAAAACTTCAATTTAAATATTTTTTATCACTATTGATATTTCTGACAAATTTGCCGGTCGCGCCAACGTTTGTACGTAGTTCGAAAATGACGTTTCAATTTCGCGCGTTATGAAAACAACTGCCGTTTTTAAATATTCATAAGAACGTATGGGTCTAAGGAATCTACTCCGATACAGCCAAATCAAAATTTATGAATATGTACGTTTATAGACGACCTTAAAGTTGACGTTTCATTTTTGATACGCTATGCATTTAAGGGTTAAAGGCCCAAATTTTCAAAAAGGTTCTAAACAGGGTCATCTGCCCTACTTACTATGAATACGTATTTTCGTTTAGATAATTTTCGCGTCATGTGACACTTCAAGTGTTGCCAGCGTTTTAACGGTAACAACCTATACCTACATTGTTACGTTGTATGTTGGTATGCTGTTAGGACCTCCTCGGACGACTGATAAGGATGGTTGATTTAGTTATCGACATTACTGGTTCGATTCCTGGCAGTATATCGGTGTGTTTGAAATTTCTATAATGATCAAGAAATTTATTTTTTAATCCATACCAATATTATAAAAGCAAAAGTAATGCCTGTGTATCTGTTACGATTTCACATGTAAACTACTGAACCAGTTTTGATGAAATTTGGTAACATCATACTTTTTATAAATAAATAGCCTTAAAGGGGTCGATAATAATCGAATTCCATGCGGGCGAAGCTGTGTGCGGAAAGCTAGTCATTTATAAGACTAAGCTCAATGCTCCAATATTGTATAAGTAATGGTAATTGAAATGTACCTATATGTTACCGCAAAAATGAAAACAGTTGACTCACAACCACGACCAGGATTTGTTCAATGCAAAAAGGTAGTGTTTATTCTTTCACAGGCACTAAAATTAACTTATTGCCTTTTGTGCCATTCGCGTGTGTACACTGGTCCTTTGTGACGGTATCTGACATTACCACCTCGTTGTTAACACAACCGCTTGTTTTATTCGCAGGTCTCTTCGCTTTATTTTGTTCGTTACAAGCATTGTTTCTCAATATTTTTATTTCGCGGCCCACTGGATATACCCCTCGCCTTTACCATGCTATCGGAAGGCACGTTAAGCCATTACTCCCGGTTGCATCTCCAGTCGTTCCCCCAGTCCGCAATGGGCCCACCTGGTGGGTAATTCATTCTCCCTATTCGTTGCGATTTCATCCAAAGACATTTTAATATTTTATTCATAGAAAAGTGCTTCAGTAGTGGGAACATAACAGATTGATGATGATGACTCACTAGACAGCTATGGAGTTATATAAAACTGTGAGCTCCTCACTGTTATATAATCTATTAATTCTATGTTACTTTCGAGAGATAAGATAGAGGCCGAATAAGATAAGGTAGAGGTAGAGGCCGCCCACCTACTACCTGAACTCGAACTATTCCTACTGGGCCTTAGCTTAGATTTGACTCAAAATCACCAAGAATGACGGAAACATATCAGGGGGCCAATCCCGCCGACCGCCATAGGGATAAGGCTAGGAGAGAAGAAGAATTCTATATAACTTTGCTTTTGCCTAAGCACATAAGCTCTAGAACAAGGCGACAGCTTCCCCTTTTTTAAATGTCTTGATATGTCCTCATATTATGCATAGTTATTATTCGATGAATTTATTTTGAAAGCTTTTTAATTATAATCTTCATGTCCGTATGGGTTGAGAAGCAGCAAATACCAGTAGATAAGAAGCAAATCTATATAACGAAGCATTTTAATTGAGGAGCTAGTCAAAATGCGATTCTTTTTTAAATCAAACTCACCGTGTTTTACTAACACACTTTAGCACTACTAAATGTTTTTTGTAGTGGAATATAAATTAAGTAATGCATTCATCGAGCTTTTTCGTTTAAAGAGCCACATTAAAAGTATTGTATATTCTTTAATATTAACCGTACTGGGCTGAGATATTTAGTAGGTTTTGAGGAGGTATTTAGTAGCACAATTGCTACTAAATGATACAATATTTTCATCTATATATACATCAAGTACTTGCCATGTTCCATGTGACTGCTCAATTCAGAAGTTTAATTGAGGAGCCACTTTTACATTGATATGATTTTGGATATATTTTACTACAGATTACTGAATTTAGCCTATACCTAAAATTAAATAATTCCCTACTAAATAAAAGGGTTTTTTTTTTCTCTTTTTTTTTATCACGTGTGAAAGAATTAGAATCAAGCACAAATAAAAAAATCAGGTATGTATTGACATTTGTACAGTGCACCCACGCAGTGGAAACTATAAATATGCGAAGATTATTAAACACCGGCCCTTAGGGGTCGGGGGTCACCTGATTGTAAAGCAGTGGCGACGAGGAATTTCACCCTTTCGTTGATGCACCATGTTGCCTATTGTAAACCCTGTTGTGTAGCCTATTGTTGCGAATTATTTAAAATTTGGTATACTTAACGATTATTTAAAGCAGTTGCTGGTAGCTTTGTACGATTGACCAATAAGTTATCCAAATTGAAAATTATTGATAATTCACCAAGAAAAAAAAAATATCGAAATTTCATAATTTGTTTTTAATTGAGATCACATATAACTTAAGATTTAGAATTTAAAATTATTAATAAAAAACTAAGTCACACTCACACAATACTTTCACTATTTTATACAAATTAATCAACCGAAGTATAATAATTGTACTAGACGTTTAAATATACAAAATAATAATAAACAAGGCCATTCCAAAAATAATTTCTTTCATAGTAAAATTCGAACGATATTATAAATAAATTATAATATTTTCTTTTCTGTAAATACAGTCGATAGTATGTTAATTTAGTACCAAAGGTCTTTCTGTAATCGATCTTAAATTAAGGAGTTCAAGCTGAAAATTTTCCTCTTGTTACCTACTGTTATATGATATACTGTTTTGTGTACAGTGCAGTAATGTATATTTCTAATTTCATCAATCATTAAGTAGGTATGTAATCATTGAGTAGGTAATCCAACCTTCATACAGTAACTGGGGTGTGTATGTATATTTTAATGTCAGATGTTTATAGCCTTAGCCTAAATCTAATAATCAAACTTATTTAGTCAAAGTCTTCGTCGGAATCAGTTTTCAGCACGCTGTCTGACCCGGAACCTGCTTCGCTATCCACTGCAATTACTCTGCAAACGAAACATTTAAGTATATTGTAAAGTTAAAAAAAAAATAAAGTTCTGCTCGATCTTTATATTCTTCTGTTTCTGTTTGGATTTTTCATTAAAAATATGTATTAATGTACACATTTAAAACCTTACTAAATCTATATCAACATAAGATAAAACATAATATTATTATGTTATGATTTTAGATATATTACTATAATAAAAGACTTAACTCGGTTCAGAAAAGATGGATATGGACGTATCTAGGAGTATCAAACTCTGAACCTCCAGGCGAAACCAATAAAGACTGCAGTCCTTTGTCCAGTGACCGCTTAAAATGAAACATCCTAAGTTTACTTAACGCTTAATGCACGTATTAAAATAAGAAAACTCGGTCTATTAGGAAATTTACCGACTTTTCTCGACTGCAGCGTAAACTTAAACAGTTACATTCAGTGCTTAAACATCTATATGTGTTAATACTTTTTCGCTTGATTTTTATTGTGACACATAAAACCTCCCCTTCTTAAGCTAATGTCCATTAATGTGCTTGCGCATGCCCAATTATGTTATGAACCGTGTTGATTGGCCAATATAAATGTAATATGAGAGTTATTGAATGTCGATTAATTAGAAAATACATATATTTATTGCAGTTTACTAAATTAACTATTATAAAAATCATGAAACTTTTATTGTAGGCATTTGATGAGGTGCTAGAAGGTTATGAGAGAGCATTAATTCAGTTCAGTATTAGTATAATGTGTAAAGTTGTTATATTAGAGAATATTCATCATTATTTTCTTTTTAAAACTTGCCTTCCAGTTTCTGCTTCCTTCAGATTAATCTCAATAATATTTCTGTCGAAGAAATAGCTACTATAAGTGCATGAACCAGTTAAATAAATGTAATTATATATCATTTTTTACCTGCGTAAATAATTATTAAACACCAAGATTATGTAAGGTATTTTATAGTGTATATCGCGCGTTGAAGTCTTCTCTAGGTAGCGCTTCTTATCATAAGATAAACATTTTTTCTTTTAAACATCTATGTCCCACATTTTTAACATCATTGTTATCTTTAATGAAAAATGCTTAAAAAATCCACCAGCCCATTAGCATTGTGAATGCTATATTGATGAAATATAATAAACATTATTATCTTTTTAATGTTCTTTGTAAATATGCTTTAAAGTTTAGAAAAAAATATTGCTTATTTGTGACCAGATTTTTTTTATATGAGTTTTGTCTTTCTATGCTTAGTATACACCACGTGCCATAGACAATATTTAAAATTGGCTAAACATTTTATATTGTTATATTGACTAAGCATATTTATATAATGAATATCGAAAACTTTTATTTGACTTATATGTTTAATATATATCTAATATATAGGATATTCCGCATATTATTTAAATACTCAATCCTAATTAAACATACGTGTACTTACATTTTACATTAATGGTGATCGCATATCTATCAGAGCCGAAAGGGGCGGACGAAACGAATTTTCTTGACAACTTGGATATTTATGACAGATAACTATGTAACTATGTGTCGTCTGTACAGTGCATATTTATACCTATATAGTGTATATATTCTTAATGTAAAATGTCACAATCTTTCTCAATCCGGACTACTGCTCTAATCACTGAGCTACCCAGGACCAAACGAATTTTTGTAACACTTTTCGCTATTAGTGAGCGCATTTTCATCAATGTTCAGGCAATTCATCCGAAACAGCTGAAACATATATTTTTATAATCACTCTGTACTCTGAGATGGGACTAGAACCTATCTCTAGTCCACGGGACTGGTGGATTTTATAAGCATTTTTTTTTTTGTAATTCGTATGATTCGGTAATATTTATATTGTACATATTTCAATTGGAAGATTATTAAAGACGGCGACGACTCACCCATTAAGGTCTTTAGTGAGCTGTATGTCGACGTTAGTGGTGGTGTCGTTGAGACCATTGAGGGCCTCGCAGAAGTCGCTTCCCACGCTCTGTAGGTGCTGCGTGTTTAGGTGGAAGCCCTGCATCATGAAATACTTATTTATTATCATTAGTCAATGTTTACAATGCTGACGTATGGTCTTCTCTACAATACAGGGAGAATGGACTTAAACCACTACGCATTCTAATGGAAAAGTGTTAAATTGCAGACAGGGTTAAGGTTGGGCGTAAAGAAAAAGGAGAAAACGTGACAGAAACCAACGCGTCGTCAGCCAAGCAGGATAGAGAACGAGGTACATATTATGTGTTAGCGGCATAATCTCATCATCATTCTATTAATGGGGATACCATTACTGGGCACAGGTCTTCCCTTTAAAGGGAATAAAATCAAATCGAATTAAGAGAATGGGCTATGATGTCCGACCAGACCCAGAGTGTATTGGGTGTTAAGGGCTGCAGATGAAGCTGGGATCAAGGCTTAAAGTGTCTACTGAAGCACAGAGCAATTAGAGCCAATAAATTTTTGGTCACCCATTCTATGACTGACCATTGCCAAAGTTGCTTAACTTCCGTATCGCTGATCGAAAGCGCTAACCACTGCATAAATTAGCTGCACGCACAAAAAATATTTTTAAGTGACTCGTCAACCATATTATACTCATAGTACAATACTATGAAAAGAAAGTGCTCCGAATGGCCCTCAGCTACAAAGTAATTTGCATATAAATAAATAAAATTGAACAAAAAAAAAGAAAGAAATAGAAAACTTTGTGATTTTTAAATATAAAATATTTGAATAGTTATGTCTGGTGTACGCGTCCTCTTAGCGTTCCTTCTGTATAAAGGTGGGTCTCTAGATAGTAAATTAAACGGTACCCATTCGAGGACACAAACAGGCCTTGCTGTATTAGGTCGAAGGTGAAGGAAGGAATTTTAGTTCTGTGCATTAAAAAATAAGGAATCAATTGGACAAATTATACTACATTATTAAGAACTTGCTGTACATGTATTCTTTTTTAATTACATAAATAAATAAATTCCTTAATCTAACTTGTAGACCAAACGCACTAATTATTGCGCCATCTTCATCGAGCTTTTCCATATACAATATATATTATTTTAAAAATAAATGATGTAAAAGCACTAATAATCTTGTATCAGCAGAGCAATTCCGTAAAAATTCGAATTCGATCCGATCCGAAGTGTGCAACTTTAATTGGTGTTAACGTTAAGTGGCATAAGTAAAGTGTGTTTCGAAGTGTCATGAAATAGAATGAGTCACTTCTGAATCAATCAAACTTGTTTTGTATTTTTATACCAAAAATGGAAGCAATAAAATTTCTACACTAATATAACTTAAGCGGATTCGCTGTTGAAGTGAACTCGATCACCCGAGTGAAATCGGGTTCGGATTTTTACGGAATCGCTCTGCAGATACTCGATAACTTAACAGTTTCTTGGCAGATATCAAGAATCTCAGATTGCAGTGTAAATGCTAAGTTATATTAGTGCAAATAGTCCGACAATATTAAAATAATTTATTTTAATCGTGAAATAAGCCATAACAAATAAGCTATCATTACTTTTTTTAATAACTCTTCTCGGTAAGTATTACATAGGTATATAAATTTAATAAATGATAGTGCAACAGTATGCCATACGCTTAGATTTATAACATGTACGTATCCTTATTTATCTGTAAATACATAGCAATATTTAATACACTCAGAATTTATTTAATAAAAAAGACGTCCACTACGGTTGTGAATAAAATTTTAATGGCTTTCAAGTTGGTCGCGGCATTAAAACCGGACGTAAATAAATTATTTATTGAAAATATTACGTCCTCCCATATTAGCCATAAATTATCATAAACATTTTATGGATATTAGAGAGAGTATTATTTGGTATTGATAATTTAGATATGACATTTAGATTTCCAAGTAGACATGATGGATTTGGTTACGTTCTCTTCAAGAATTTATAGGAACTCATTTAATTAGACATTTAAAATTAAGTAGTTAGCTCTTGGAATATAATTGCAATAATTTCTCATAATTCAAATAAAACGAAGAGCGTAGGGACTGGGCCGGTATCTAGTATCAGGAATCTATGTGTGATTATCATTAGTGCAGATCAGCTGTCATTTATAATTAGCTTATGGCTTGGACGCAAGACAAATGTCGGCATTTTCTGCCATTAAGTAAGGGTTACCAACCGTCCTGGTTTTCCAAGACATTTCCTGGTTTTGTAGTGTCCTGATTTGTCCGGGTAAGTCTTCAATATAGTCTGAAATACCAACCCTTTATAGACTCGCCCATAGAAATGTGTATCGGTGCTTAGTAATATAATAATAGCCAATAAATAAATTTATAAATAAATAGACAATTAATATAAGCGTACGAATGATAAATGAAAGGAAAAGAAAAATAGAAGAAAAACGTTGCTGCAAAGAGCTCTCCAGACGAGCCGGTTTCTTCATAGATTGACGTTCAGATAAGATGGCAGGAGCGCTAATAATATAATTATACGGACATATAGAATAAGTTTATATCTAAGTAGCTATGTAATTACGTGCCATAATTCAAATCGTAAGCCCTTACGTAATAACCGTGCGCGTGATGGTTGACGCTTATACGATACTATGAGATAACTAGTCAGTTTTTGTCCTTTATGTTACAAAATTAATTTTAAAGGTCGGTGCATATATGTACAATCCGGGGAACGTCAGAACTGACAAAATATGTGATTAAACAGATTTTTCGCTGCCCTCAATGAATCTTCCATGAGATTTGTAAACTATAACGTACCGTATATTTGTCTTGAATCACTATGTATATTTAAAAAAAATACACTAAAAAACCGTTATGTTTAAAAGACCTCAGCGGGAAGCTACTTTGTTTTATTTTATTAATAGATAGTGAGACAATCTCATACCCTAACCCCTATTGTAAGGGAGTAGTTAAGATTTTGGAGGAGCTTAATGAGACAGTGTAGATCGTTATGAGACTGCGAAGGTTAAGCAAGTTTCGAATAGGCCAGAGATTGGCAACCTGTGGATCTTTCGACGTAAAGTTGTTGCTGTCAAGTTCCATTTATATATTAAAAAAAAATACTGTTGAAGTCTTTTGAATCGTGTGATCCGTCCATAATTATATCCTCCATGATTCGATTTGAATCGATCCAAATTGTGTCATTCTATATTATATACTGACTATGACTGACATAAATTTAAAGTTAAAGCAGATTGTCAAAAGTAATTTCAATAATATTAAAACAAAATTTTTAGTGGTATAAAGAGCCACTAAAAACTGTGAAATTTTGAAATTGTAACCAAGGAGATTATAGCTTTTGGCTCTTCCGTCTCAAAAGGTTGTCGAACCCTGGTCGAAGACCAGTAACAATGGCGGCTAAAAACATAATGTCTCCAGCTCAGGAGGGCTATGGCACGTTCTCCTTATGTTTCTCTCTTCGGGGTAGGACTAAAAGGGGGTTAATAATTGATAACGATCTAAGATTTTCCACGCACGAACAGACAAATGAACACACGAGTGGATAAGGCTTCCGTTTTCATTTTATGATAATTTAGAGCCCCAAGGTGACGTCAAAAATGTTACATAGAATACTTCTGGATGCACTATTAGCCTAGTTGTTTTGCTGACATACTTTACCTTAAACGGTCCCCGGTCGAATCCGCAGAAGGAGGCCTCCATAGTGTATGATCTGGTGACACCGAGGTGGCGCCACACTGTAACGCGCGCGGTGCTCTCCCGCTCGCGTTCTACGCGAAACGAGCACGAACCGAGCGCGAATGCCGGCGATATTCGGTGCATTAAGGCTGGCAGCATCTGTTGAAAATATATGCATAAAATTTCAAGACATTCTATGCAGTTTCGAAATGAATTAGAAAAATAGGGATGATGCCTGGGTAAAAACAAAGAAATTATATTTAGTCAGTTAGTCAGATAATAGAAAAATATTAGATATTTATATTTGTTTCAATGTAATAAATAATAGCATTATATTTGATCAATTTTGCATTCACAATGCTATACTGAAAAATATTCTAAATGAAAAATGCTTAAATTAGAACAGATTTTCATCTTCATCTTTCGGCAGTTTGGGTGGATTCAGGCAAACAGCCAAAAGAAACATTGAAAAATTCATTAGACCTGTTAGGTCCTGGGTAGCTCTAGAGGCCCAGATTGCGAAAGGTCATGGGTTCAAGTCCCATCTCAGAGTGCCGGGACAAAGTGGATTTTTAATAATTTTTCATTAAAACTATAAACAGTTTGTGAATTCATGTACAGTAGTATTTTTTTATGTTAATATCTATAGTCTTCTCAGTGAAACTTTTCATTTGATACTCATAATTATGAGTCATTACAAAAATTAGACGCCATCTTGGATTTAGAATGTAGTCATTCTATTATATTCGTATTTGTCAAAATATTTCGTTTTTCATGGGGTTTCGGAAATTTAAACTATAAGTTTGATTTTTATTGATAAATACAATAAATTTCGCCCGAATATTGATGTCATGTGATTATTATAAATAATTATTATTTACTATATTTCCAAAATTATTAAAATACCCTATTACGAAATTTATTGTATTTATCAATAAAAATCAAAGTTAAAGTTTAAATTTCCGAAACCCCATGAAAAACATATAAACCTTTATTAAAATAAAATATACTCATACGTACAAGACACAAAAATAGATTATACTTACCGCAATCTATAATTAAAATGATAAATACAAGCCCTTGCTATATGTCGATTAAAATATATAATAAACAACTATAATAATATAACTATAAATACCAACTATATGATATTTTTTTCATAAGCATTAAAATCCTTTATTTTACCAAAAAGATACTCTATAAATGAGTACCTACATGCATGAGGAATATAGTATCTAGTATCCAAGGTAGGATTGTAATGTTGGAAAATAAATCGAGGAATATGTATTTTATGTACTGTAGGCATATTTACCTTTTGTATTGTCTATTCGTGGATTTTATAAGATTTTTAATAATTAAATAATTTGGTATAAGCCCGTGAAAACAAGAGAAAAATTATTTTATATAGTACAAATATACTAAGGATGATCAACATAAAAATATAACTTTTTTATGATACTTTGATTAATTTTGCATTCAAAATGCCATACTAAAAACTATTGTAATAAGAATAACTTATTTTTAATAATCCTAAAACCCAAAAATTACAATGAATATTTTCTTATGAAATTGCATCATAAAACGAAATCCCAAAAATAACTTAATAACAATTCTATCTTACATACGCCGCGTATACGACGTCACAAGCAAGTAAATAAACAAACCCTATCAAAATAAAATCATCAACAAGAAACCATATTTACTAGCGTGTGACGTCTTCGTCAGTTGCGATTTTTTAATGTAACTTGTTAACTACCTATGCATTATCATCGAATTTCGTTAAAACTGTATTTAAACTTAATCGGCGGACGACATTTGTTTTAAAATTCGGTTGCAAGATTTGACGAACACACATAGGAACTCGTTTATCATCATCACCAGCTTATTGATTTCCTACTGCATGGGTACATACCTTCCCTAGGAATAAATAGAATCGAATATGGAGAATGGGCCATAATAAAATCTACCACGCGGGCCCATTGCGAATTGAAGGGTTTCAACGAATATAAGTGCAACCGGAACCAACGCTTAAACGTGCCTTACGAATCACGAAGGAGTTTTGAGTTTTTTTTTGGTTACCTATACTATAACCGGCCATTACGAAAGTTGCTTAAAATCTATCGCAGACCGGAAGCGTCAAGCTCCACTCATTGGGCACAGGGCACATACATATATTCCTTGATTGTAAGTCAAATGAAAATTGTGTGTCTTTTTTATAAAAGTTTATAATAAACTCCCGCCAATTACCTAGACACAGACACACGGTGTAGCGGTATTTACGTAAATTAATACACCGTTGAACTCATCGACCAGTTGAATAAATAGAATTTCTCATTACCGCGTCTCGTTAGGAGGACTGGCGACGCAGGTTTGTGGAATTTTAAATCTAAGTTTTTTGCGTCAGATCTGTCACGTGTGCAATGCACCGATATGGTCGGTTATTGCCATCGCGGCTAGAGGGCAGCTCTTAATTGATTACAGTTGATTAATTATTTCCGCGATACCTTATAATATCCTCCGTGATACAGGTAACGATTTTTACATCTATGATCGATTCCTTCCCATTTTGCTTTTAGTGTAAAATGACACAGGTTTTGATTGATACTTTTGTTGGTCATCGGTTACATTTACACAGAATAAATAAATTTATTTTTAAAGACATTTTTCTCCTTTTATTATTAACCACATTTATGTATATAATATTTTATGTCATAGCCATAGATACCGCCTCTCCTCATCAAATTTTAATACTTCGATAGTGCGTTCTTTTACTTATTGGCTGTCCATTTCTGTTTTGACTCCTGTTTAGTTCCTTGAATTATTTAGTTTTAAGAAAAAAATATTTATAAGTGAAAGCATGTAATTGGTGAACAGTTACCATTACAGTATTGTGTATTAGATTTAATAGCACTGTTTGTTTTCCTAATAAATTAAAACAAAATCCTTATAGTATACTCGTACCGAAATAGCACGCAGATCCTTTAACAATAATGAAGCGCGTTCTTTGCAAATAAAACTTCAGACTTTCTTTGCGTACTAAAATACTCCACTGTTACATCTGGCCCATTCTTCTGTACTAATGCGAGGCTTAAACGTTTAAGGAAATCGTTTAAAACTTTGAGGGGCGTTCGAAATGTCGGTTAATGTTGTTGTTCTTCCGAATGTATGTCGGGCTTGTGAACTTTTGCAGACAGTTAAAAGAAAAGTAGCTTTTTTGGGATATATGATGAGACATGAGAGATAACAGAAACTATAGCTTATTATGATGAGAAAAAGATGTGGAGGTTTTACGAGCGCTATCTAGCTGTTACACCTTGAAAATTTGAAACCAAGAGCAGTTGGATAAATTTACTACCATCCTTTGCTAGTCGGAGAGGCACTATAAGAATAAGAACCTTAGGGATGGGCCCCGAGAAATGCAAAAACACTGACCAGATATTTGACCGGCTCATCAGGAACCAGCCTGTCGTTGCTGCACCAGCTCTCCGCGGCGGCGCATCCATAAAAGAAGACATTCTTCTTCCGCGAGTGGCCGTGATAATCGCAGTACACCAGCGGTGGCTTTTTCCACACACGCACCAGATACTCTATTAGACCCTGGATGGACATATGAAATGGAATAGTAAGAACGGGTTTGTACCCGTAAACTTTCGCCAACTGAGAGTATTTTTAGTTATCAAAACTTTAGGTACCTAAGTACGTAGCTTCACATCCAGTACCCGAATGGATTTAATTTAAAAAATACTTCAAGCAAATTAGAGTAGAACATTATTTGATTTTGGTCCTAGTCAAAAAATATATTTACCGTTTATCAGTTGACAGAAAATTTATCTGTATTTTATAAGATAACTATCTACGTGGAAAATTTTCCAAAATGTTTTTCTTCCGGACTAAAGCGACTTATTGTACACTTAACTAAAAAGTAGCGATACACGTAGATAAAATAATCATGACGTTTAGAAACAGTTAATTGGAGTAAAAATATCCTTGTAATATGACATTATTAATATAACATTTCAATGTTGTAAAATACAGCGAGCCTGTTATGCTCAGAGCGCTGGTTCAAATTCTAAATAACTACTACTCTTACGAATCTACATCTTCATCATTCAGAGATTACTTTTAGTGATAAGGCCGCCATTTGTACGTCTCCTTTTACAATTGAAATTGTAAGTGTTATGTGTGTGTACAATAAAGTTTATTCTATTCTATTCTATCTTAATCAACACTTAAAGGACTATTCTATTTCTCCAAAAACGTTAATTTATTAATTTACATACTTAATGTACAATAATTTAGTCGTAGTACTGGACTCCGCGTCTCATGAATAATCTTCATGGATATAACATTACGAAAATCACAAGAACGGTTTGAAATCCGAATTTTCTTAAGATGACTCAGTTGTCATGTTAATTCGTACGATTAATATTTAAAATAGTCATCACCAGCTTGTTAATGTCTCCATCGCTGTTGCTCAAGCCTTCCCTATGGATGGAATCTAATCGAATTTTATAGGGAGACTTGGCCATGTCCTACCACGCGGGCGCAGTGACGACTGGTGGGTGTTAACGATTTCAAATGCACCCGGAATCAAGAAGCATGAAGGATTTCGAGATAATAAATTCATTTTTAGACATCCCATTACTAGTGGTGCGTCATTGTATTGGTTTCTTTTATTTTTTATATGAGGGTAATAAGTTTTCATTATTTTTCCTGCCTACCTTTCCTATCTAAAAACCCCAGACTGATTTGACATTCGTTACTTGAGCATCAGCAGACACGGTTTCGCGTTGTCTCGAATTCATCATCAAAAAAAGTAGTGATACGCACGTCGTACTAGCGTCGCGGTCGCGTACTATCAGCTGAAATTGTTGGGGAAGAAGAGATAAAGGAAAGGACGGCTGTTATCTAAATCTCAAAACATCAGCAACCAGCGCCAGACAGGTCAGTCAGTCAGTCATCTCATTTTTCCCCACCATTTCCCGTGGTCCTTCGTTCCAAATAAATTCATTTTCCCGAAATCCTACTTTTTTCCTTATTTAATAAGCAGCAATTCAGCATATTAAATTAATATTTTTATTACCCCCATATTTGTTTCGATCGTAACCATTCGTTCTTTTTCGACCATTCATTTGATTGTAGATCGACATCATTCATTCAATTAAATTGTCTGTGTTCATTCAATCGTACATAGCTCATAATTGACATTGACAGCAATTGTCATAATCTGTCATTGTCAATTATTAACACTGACGTCGACCGTCATCATCATTGTTAAAACAGTATTATAAGTATTTTTTTACCTTCGTATTTCGTAGATTTTCTGATAAAACTATTTTAATTTGAAACTGAATCTAATTGCATAAAACAAAATGTCTAAGCCAAGTAACTTATTCATTCGCTTCGGCATTTTACAAAAAAGAATACATGAATTGTATGATTTAGCTACAAGTTGCAGTGCAGCACAAGAAAAAAGTGATAAGTATGATCAGTTTTTGGTTAGGTATAACGATATCGAAAAACATCGTGATCAAATGGATGATATATATTCTACATTAATGTCCGACAAAAAGTTTGATGAGAAGGAACGTGCCGAATTGGAAGGTGGTTATAATGAGTTCCAGGAACAGTTTTATTCAATTCAAGTGTTACATGCTAATTTAACTACTAAGAAATCTCACACTACTGACCGTTTCGAGCACAACACAACTACCGAATTTCATTTGCCTAAAATATCATTGCCTAAATTTAGTGGTGTTTCAGTTGAGTGGCCTAATTTTATATCAATCTTTAACAGTTTAATTCACAATAATAAACGATTGGGTGAAGTTGAAAAAATGCATTACTTGTTAAGTGTGTTGGACAAAGAACCGTTATCTTTAATTAGGCATCTCACTGTTACACATGAAAATTACATAGTTGCATATAGATTACTTAGTGAACGTTATGAAAACAAAAGGATTATAGCGGACAAACATATAGATGCAATCCTTAACTTACCTAACCTAACACAAATAAATACAAAATCTCTTAATAAGTTTTTATACACAATAAAAGAAAATACACAAGCATTAATTTCACTAAAATTTCAGGTGGACTCTTGGTGTTTTCTACTTTTACACATAATTCTTAAAAAATTACCTATAGATATCAGAGCAAAGTTTGAATCAACAATTGATATAAATAGCATTCCAACATTTAAGGAATTACTTTTATTTTTAGAAAATCAGCTGCGAATTTTAGAAAACCTTTCTAGTTCCACAACTAAATCAATTACAAGTAATTCTTTTAATGTTGTGGATACATCTATTCAGTCGACTCAGTGTTTGAGTAAATGTCCATGCTGCAATGAAAACCATCTTATTTACAAATGCCACAAATTTGAAAATATGAGCGTTATAGATAGAAAGAATTTTATTAAACAACAAAAACTTTGTTTCAATTGTCTTCGCACACATCATGTATCAAAATGCATGTCAAGAAGTACATGTCAAATATGTCATGGCCGGCATCACACTAAATTACATTTAAACTCCGCTCAGAGCCGTGATTTTTCTCAGGTGTCTTCGGAGCATATTGATGGTAATGTAACACAAACTCAATCGCTTCATGGCATTGATGGTACATCCACAATGGTTTTAGGGACTGTTATTTTAAAAATACAAGATGTGGATGGTCACTATCATTCAGCTCGTGCGTTGATTGACAGTGGTTCTCAGGTTTCTATAATCACTGAAAGCTTGGCACAACAATTAAGATTGCCTCGCTCTCATTCAGGTTCCTTGTATGGTTTGGGTGTTGTGTCAAATCAGCATACCAATGGTACCGTACAAACAAACATCACATCTACACACAAATCAAAACATATTTTGTTCTCTGATTTTGTTATTTTAAAGCGTATCACTGGCAATCTCCCTACAGTTCCAATACATAAAATGGTTTTAGAGACTTGTGAAAATTTAATTTTAGCAGATAGAAATTTTAATACTCCTGGCTACATTGATTTACTTCTCGGAGTTGGGTTATATGATCAGATTTTTGACGGAAGGAAGTTCAGTCTCGGTGAGGGCATGCCTACTGCCTATTATTCTATCTTTGGTTGGGTCATCATGGGCAAAGCTCCTGCTGCATCGAGCTTGAATTATAATACCACTGCGATGGCTTGCACCTTCGATCTGCATCAGGCTATAAGTTCATTCTGGGAAACTGAGGAACCACCCAAAACTTCAATTTCGGACCCTGAAGACATTTTGTGTGAAAAACATTTTCAAGAAACTTATACTAGGGATAGCACAGGCCGTTTCAAGTTACGTTTGCCTTTCAAGGTCAACCATAGACCCTTGGGTGACACTCACTTTTCTGCTTTAAAGAGGTTTTTTCATTTAGAGCGACGACTTCTCAAGGATAGTAGGTTGCGAGGGCTTTACGTTGAATTTATGCGCGACTACCTCGAGGCCGGCCACATGCAGGAAGTCCCAACTTCTGGGTCTTCCGATCGATATTTTATACCTCATCATGGTGTTTTAAAAGAACACAGTAGCACTACCAAATTGAGAGCCGTTTTTGACGCTTCTGCGCCTAGTTCGTCTGGCGTCTCTCTGAATCAAATACTTATGTCAGGTCCCAAATTGCAGAAAAACATTGAGGATATTATTTTACGATTTCGAATTCACAAGATTGTTTTCACTGGTGACATCCGACAGATGTACCGCCAAATCAACATTGATGAGGATGATCAACGTTATCAAACAATTTTATGGCGCGAATCTCCTGATTTTCCACTTAGACAGTACGAATTAACAACTGTCACCTACGGTGTTTCCAGCTCAGCATATCAGGCGATTCGTGTCATTCATGAACTCGCACGCCTTAACTCTGATCGTTACCCTGAAGCCTCTACCACACTTTTTGAGGACACGTTTGTCGATGACGTCGTCAGCGGGTCTTCCAGCGTTGGTTCTGCTCTTCAATTGCAACGTGACGTTGTCGCCATTTTAAGTCAGGGTGGTTTCATATTACGAAAATGGTGTAGTAACTCTGATGAATTCTTGTCAGCCTGTCCATCCGATCACTGTGAAGCTCCATATCGTTTCGAGGACGGTGATAGCATTTATAAAATTTTAGGAATTGAATGGAAATCCAATTGTGATAGTTTTATTTACAAGGTAGACGATATTGGTTGCTCCATGACAAAACGTGGAGTTTTATCTAGTATCGCTAAACTTTACGACCCATGTGGTTTCTTAGCTCCAACGATTTTTTATGCGAAGCTTTTTATGCAAAGGTTGTGGCTTTTGGATACTGGATGGGATGATCCCCTGCCTTCCGAGATTGCGAAGGAGTGGAATTCATTTTTATCCGACTTTCCCAATTTAAATCTCATCTCTATTCAGCGACGTATTCTTACAGATCAACCGATCGATATTCAAATTCACGGTTTCTGTGATGCGTCCGAACGCGGGTATGCAGCATGCATCTACCTGCGCGTTAAAGACTCGGACGGTAGTATTTTGGTTCGACTTCTAGCCGCCAAATCCCGTGTGGCTCCCATTAAACAAAAGTTAACTATCCCCAAACTTGAGCTAAGTGGTGCTCTCTTGCTCGCTCGTCTGACCGAGCATACATTCGGCATCTTACAGCCCAAATTCAAAATAAATAATTTGTACGGCTGGACCGATTCCAGTATTGTATTGTCCTGGTTGAATACCTCACCACATAAACTTCAAACATTCGAAGGTAATCGCGTTTCCCAAATCAAAATGATTATGCCTGACCTCGTGTGGAAACATGTTTCGTCATCAGCGAATCCCGCCGACCCGGCCAGTCGAGGGATTCCACCTTCCGAGTTGGCAAATCATTCGATCTGGTGGTCTCCGCCATGGCTCGAAGGTTGTCTTTCGTCGTGGTCTGGAGATGTACCATTGCTCAGTGAAAGCGAATTACCGGGTATCAAATCTCTTCCTCTTTTATCAGTCGTCGTTGAAACTGCCGTCGCACCGCTCATCTTTGAGAGATTCAGTTCGTTTCCCAGGCTACAGACAATTGTAGGCTGGTGCAAGCGTTTTATGCATAACACTCTCAATAGAACGCAGCGTCGTACTGGGCCATTATCAGTCTCAGAATTGAACGATAGCTTGAACACTATCGTCAAGTTAGTTCAGTCTACGGCGTTTGCTAGAGATCTAGAAGCTTTGCGTGCCGGCAAGAACACGAGAAAGGGTTTGATGCGCCTTAGTCCGTTTATTGACTCCGACGGGCTTTTAAGGGTAGGTGGTAGGCTCACCAAATCTCAACTTCATTATTCAGCAAAACATCCCTTGTTGCTACCAAAGGATCACGTCATCACTAATCTCATCGTCGATCACTATCATCGTTTGTATTTACATCCAGGCTTAGGTCTACTTCAAGCACTTTTGCAACAAACATTTTGGATTTTATCTGCTCGACGTGTCATCAAGCGCGTTATTTTTAAATGCCAGCGTTGTTATCGTTTACGCCCCAAAGCTATCGAACCTTACATGGCTGATTTACCAGCAAATAGAGTTAATTCATGTAGAGCGTTTCAGCGTGTTGGCATCGATTTTGCTGGCCCTTTCTTACATAAGGTTTCCAGAATTCGAAATGCTAAATCTGTGAAAGCATACCTATGCATTTTCGTTTGTTTCACCTCTAAGAGTGTCCATTTGGAAGTCGTCTCTGACCTTTCTACGGAGGCCTTCATTGCATGTCTGGATCGCTTTGTGTCGCGTCGCGGGCTACCTACGGATATATATAGCGATTGTGGCACAAACTTTGTTGGGGCAAAAAACTATTTAAGGGAAATTCACAAGTTTTTAAAGGACACATCATCAAAGGTATATCATCATTTATCTGTTCAACGAATCAATTGGCATCTTAATCCACCTGCCAGCCCTCATATGGGCGGTTTGTGGGAAAGCGCGGTCAAATCTGCCAAACTTATTTTAAATCGAGTGATCGGTGAACGCACGCTAGTTTTCGAAGAGCTGGCTACAATATTTTCTAAAGTTGAAGCAGCATTAAATTCAAGGCCATTGTGTCCCTTAACAAATGATCCCAGTGATCTCGAAGCGTTAACGCCGGGTCATTTCCTCATAGGGCAACCACTTCTGTCATTACCTGAACCAGATATAGCGGATTCCATCATCAGCCCGTTGAGGCGTTGGAAGGTGCTCCAACAAATTACGCAACATTTCTGGAAGCGCTGGCATTCCGAGTATTTGCACACTCTAATGCAACGCCCGAAGTGGCTTAACAAGTGCGAAAACATTCGTGTCGGTGATCTAGTCCTCATCAAAGAGCACTCTCCACCGCTTCAGTGGCGTAAGGCTCGCGTTATCAGACTTTGTCCTGGTACCGATGGTGTAGTAAGGGTGGTCGAACTTAAAACGGCTTCTGGAACTCTATTGAGACCGGTTCTCAAACTTTGTCGTTTATATCCAACTAACGCATAATATTCGCATTTACCTCAACTTATTTATATGTTTTATTTACTTATTATATATATATATCTTAAATTTAATTTAGACACTTGTAGCTTGAATTATATCATCACCAAAAAAAAGAAAAAAAAGTCAAATAAAAGAGCTAAGCCGCTCTTTGGGGGGCGGTATGGTGCGTCATTGTATTGGTTTCTTTTATTTTTTATATGAGGGTAATAAGTTTTCATTATTTTTCCTGCCTACCTTTCCTATCTAAAAACCCCAGACTGATTTGACATTCGTTACTTGAGCATCAGCAGACACGGTTTCGCGTTGTCTCGAATTCATCATCAAAAAAAGTAGTGATACGCACGTCGTACTAGCGTCGCGGTCGCGTACTATCAGCTGAAATTGTTGGGGAAGAAGAGATAAAGGAAAGGACGGCTGTTATCTAAATCTCAAAACATCAGCAACCAGCGCCAGACAGGTCAGTCAGTCAGTCATCTCATTTTTCCCCACCAACTAGTAATTGCGATAGTAGCTTAACAACCGTTTTGCAGATCGAGAACACTAGCCAAAACGACAACGAGCAAATAGTATTACAGCAAAATAACAAACAACAATTAGATTGTTTGAAAAAAAATTGCGACTTAAGCCATTTGTAACTGTACTTTGTAACGTAATCATATTTTATATTCAATTAAAAATAATATCTATATTTGTATTCACCTTCGTATGGTAAATGGATGGATGCAGAACGGGACTCGGTTTACACCATCGCCTATTCAAATCTTCATTAGTGAGGCCGCATCGGTGGCTGCAATAAGAAAACAACATTTTATAATATATCCAGGGGCCTAATAGTCTTATTTTAATATCTAACACAGTCGGTTACAATTTGACATTTGCAAGATATTCACGAAGTTCACACTCAAACTATTTGGACATGTGCTAGCGATTGCGAAATCTATACTTATAATAAATCTGTAGAGAGGTCAATTCTGTACATGAAATATATTTCCAAAATTACTATCAGGGGGTGATTAGGGATCGATACTGATGCCAAAAATGCAATCAGTAAAATTTTTGGTGTCTGTCTGTCTATATAACCGTTAAAGAAAAAAAAAACTACTCGACGGATTTTAAAGAAACTTGGTTCAATTATTTTTCATACTCCTGAGCTAGTTATAGTATACTTTTCATCACGCTACAATCAATAGGAGCAGAGCAGTGAAGGGAAATGTTGGGAAAACGGGAGAAGTTACTCCATTTTTTAAGCTTCCGTCGCGTGTGCAACCTTAATGGTTAAAGCTACCCAGAAATCAAGTATGACGGAAATGTTCTCCTTAAAATTATATAAAATATATCCCACGACAGCACATGTATATCTTTTATGGTTGACTCACAATAACACGTGTAACTCCCGATAGCTTAGCAGTTCGAAGCTTTCTGATTGTATTTGTCTATTGTCTACTCTTACGTTTATAACACTCTCAGTCATCCCTAATTAAAAAAGTTAACAGTATTGAGTATTCCATAAAAAATATATTAGTCGAAATTGAGTTTTGAGAAACACATTGGTTTAATGACATTAGTCTTCAGCTACAAAGACGAACACATGACAAAGACATGTCTTATAAAAAACAGGAACCTAGAATTTGTTAATGTCAAGTAAATAATTTCATTTTGTTACTATTTTATCATCCTGGACCCGATATATCTATACTAATATTATAAAGCTGAAGTGTTTGTTTGTTTGTCTGAACGCGCTAATCTCAGGAACTACTGGTTCTTATTGAAAAATTATTTTTGTGTTGAATAGAGTATTAATCGAGGAAGGCTTTAGGCTATATAACATCACGCTGCAACTATTAGGAGCGAAGAAATAATGTAAAACGCGGAAGAACTCGCTGGCGGCCACTAGTATTAAATAAAAGTATCGTTATTTTTCCGTTAATTGGAATTGTCTAAGGCATGCCTGTAAATATTACATTAAGTTTTTATTGTTTCTTGATCATTCAAATCATCGTTCGTTCCGGAAGAGATTACTACTTCAAAGGTTAGTAATCGCTTTCGGAACGAACTGTGGTCGGGCATGCACGTGTGGTAGGCGCCTAAGTAAATTTGTTGATGGATCCCCAATGTCATATACTTTGTAAAAAAATAAAAATAATAATAGTAATATTGCATGTGGTATTTACCTGTAATTGTTTGATACATTTCTTCTTGTGAGCTAAATCTAGTTATTAAGGCATGTAATAATGTATTAAATGTTGGTAAATCTATAAAAAAAAAAAGTTTATATAATTCAATAAATCGCTATCACAATGGCCATACCTTTGATAGAATTTAGTTAGATGATTACCCCACCGGAACACTTAAGCGACGACTTATATCGAACATAACTTTTTAGTATATCTCAATTGGAATAACACTCCGAGACAGGGAGTCAGTAATGTAACGTGTGTCTGATGTTTGACAGAATATTCAATACTTATTATAGCCATTTAGCAACTTATTTGTTATTAAAATCAATATTAAGAATATTTCTTAAAACATTTTTTTTATTATATTTGATCAATCTTATTATTTTGATTAATTTCGCTTTCGCAATGCTACACTGAAAAATGCTTAAAAAATCCACTTTGTCCCTGATACTCTGAGATGGCATTCGAACCCATGACCTTTCGCAATCCGGGCAACTATTTTAATCACTGAGCTACCTAGGACCTAACAGGACAGGAGGAAGAATATTTTCCAGTATAGCATTGTGAATGAAAAATTGACCAAATATAATAATTAGTAAAAATTTTCACCTTTTTTCAAAAGTTTAAATATTTGTGAAAATATTTCTTTCGGCTGTTTGGGTGGATTTCTTGAACATTGATGAACGCTCTGTAGTGGCGAAAAAATAACAAGTACTTGAAAGATTCTTCGGTCCTGTCGCCCGGATTGCTAAAGGTCGTGGGTTCGAATCCAATTTCAGAGTACCAGAGACAGAGAGGATCTTTTTAAGCATTTTGTCACTGAGAAAATGCTATCAAAGTTACAATTTCAAAACAGTTTCAGTCGTCTATAATTACTTGAAATTTATTAAATTTATAAATACACAAGTTGTTTCTCTGCGACTTCATACGCGTAAATTATAACACATATAAATTATAACCGAGACTGGGATAAATTATAGCAAGCATTTATTATCTAGTTTCATAATCTGGTAAGTATTTTCGGATATTATTCTCTACAAACAAGCAAACGTATGCTTGTCAATAAGCTTATAGCGAAGAAACATCACTTTCTATTGATTTATTAATTAACCAGCGTTGTTCTAAAACTATATCACGCTCACATTATTTCGATCATATATAACTAATTCAGAAAAAAATATAACCAAAAAGCGAATACGTCATTATTTTGAAATGGCATTTAATAAACAAATACATGATGTAAATTCGTACATTAATTTATAAATTGTCATTAAATACTATTGAATTGTGCCAATAAATAGCATCTTTCTAATAGCAGTACATTTCTCACATTTATTATACATTAATTGCAATCAAAGCTATACCGATTGTTTCATTAAATGCGCGACACGATCGCGTCGTTTACCATTTCGGTGTCTATTATAAAACGACAATTAATTCGTACGCTTATAACGTTCACCGATGAACAGAGAGCTTTCGTGAACAATTTGATATGACAAGCTATTAAATAAAATGAATGACTGGCCACGTTGGAATTTCATCAGTGCGTGAGAGTGGCGACTGGACACGTGCTTCCATGCTTAAACGATTTTGCTTGCCGAATAACATTATTAGGAAAGAAAATAGTTGAACTAAAAATATAATATAATATGTTATATAATAATATAATGCGTGGCATGTAAATTGAACTACAAAGGTGATTAATCATGCAGGTTTTAACAAAGTTAAAACGTATAGCGCGATTACAAATTATGGAAATACGAAATGTTTGAATTTGTAGTCGCTTTCGGAATGAGTGATGATTTGAAAGATCAATCAACACAATGTTTTTACGATATCTTACATTTTAATATTTAAAAAAAAAACGCCGCGGTCGTTATTCCTATCACTTGTCAAATAGTTGTAGAGTGAAGTTCGATTATCTATATAATGAGAAAATGACAAATTAAAAGGGATTACGAAAGATAGACAAATTGTCTTGATTCAGAATCAATTTCGAGGTTTGATGAGGTTTAGAAAGACTTGTCAACATTTTCTTCAACTAGGTTTGAAATAATCATCTATACTAATATTGTAAAGAAGAAAGGAAAAAACATACAAAATGTTTATTTGCATCGAATAGCGTTTGAAACCACTGGACTGCTTTTAAAAATTCTTTTACCTACGGATAACTACATTATACGGGGTTGACATACGCTCAGATACACATAAACAACATTTAACAGAAATAACGCAAATCTTCTAAACGCATTTAACATTTTACTTTTATGTACTAAAACATTGTTTATCTATGAACACAGTTATACTAATTGCTGGGTAACAGTGTGGACATCTTACAGATCCACACAGTGACATCAAAATTGCGGCTTAGTCTGCAACTAAAAATGTATGTACAGAAAGTACTTATAGCGCAATACCACAATGATACCACCTACCTACCAATAAAAATCCTTGACATGAAATATTATTCCGTTTCGGGATTCAAAGTGTTTTTTAAGTTTAAAGAATAATTATGATTTTAACTGGTTATGAGCATCGACTAGCGTAGTCTTGCGATCACATATACGGCGAGCACACTGTCACCATTCCTTAAGCATTTCGATGATTGTATAATGAAGAATCATCGCATGTGAAATTGAAAATTCGATTAACTTCTTCTTCTTAACTTTAATGGCACTTAGCGTCACCACAATACAGCCAACTTCACGTAAGAGACCATTATATGATTTAAATACATTCATTCGACCAAACAATTTTGAATTCCCAATTCTAAATTGCGATAAAATAATCATACATTGCCACTGTCATGTTTGTCACATATGTCATGTTTATTTGTGATACATATATTATTTTTTTCTTTGTTTATTAATTATTTTACTCTATGGTTTAGCTACACTACCGTGTTATTTTTATTCTGCCATGTTGAAAACGGTGTGACAATTAAGTATTATTATTATTAATTGATATTGACAAAGGAAATTATCGCTACTCGTGTAATCATTTAGAATGGACCGCACTGGTCGGTAGCAAATTACCATGCGTCCATATAGTTCCACTGTTCTCTCGAACTAGTAGTCGCGTCGATTAAGAACGAACAACGACTTCAATTGTGTCATTATTTACAGCTAGGTAAACTTGTGTGCGTCTGCAATCTACGACAATTCACTGCAGCTCACCCGTTATTAAAGGGCAATTCTTATTATGTACGTGCTTCCGACATAATCGCATGCATTCAGTAAGATACGTAACGGACAATGAGAGCATGCTGCCGTCAGTTAACTGTAAATACCTACAAAACGGAAAAACACTTCGCCTTATCCACGAACATTATGTCCACAGAAATCGTGGAAAGGATCATAATAATATTTAAAAACAAAAAAACGACTGCCCAAACGACTTCCCGAGTTCCCGAGAACTGATTCGTTTTAAATTCACACCTCACAGATCTTGATAACGGAAAGCGAGCCTGTGTATCGACAAATTGTATTCAAGATAAGGGCTTTATTTTTTTCGTGTTGCTTTAACACGGTCAACGGTTTCATAAGAATTTAATAATTTGTATGATCCAAAGCTGCGTGCAAACTGGGGACTATTCGCAGTTCTACGAAGT